ATATCTCAACTCGATACTTTCATGTCATGTAGTGGATTCGAGTCCGTTCGTTTGTCCTATTATCTCGTAATAATGGTAAGTGTTCCGCCCTTTCTTCTCGAACTATCTCTTTCATTTACTTTGCGCATGGTTCTACCTCCATGCTTTGCGTGTTTACCACATATTTGTAGGAGATTTGCGCCCTCCGTTGATACCTACAAACTAAATACTTCAATAAAGGGCACATTTCATACTATGGTGGTGTTTGTGAAGATATCATTACGGCGATTATTCCAACCATGTGCCAACAAAAACCATTACCAGTTTTCAAAAAAAAATGTTTAAAAAATATTTTCACATATGAATAGAATGCAAGCATTTAAACATTTATTAGCAAATTTAACATTAAAAGCATCGCCTTCATTGGTAGTTTGAACTATCCCAACCACAAGTACTGTCATTCTGTGAAGTACATGTAAATGTGGTGGAGCATTGGGTCCATATCGTACGATCATATTTCCAACAAATGCAAGACACAATGTGAGTTTTTAGTGTAAAATGTGTATAACGAAATGATGTGGTGGACAACGACACGACAATTCATGTCAAGAGGATGGAGAAAATTGAATAAAAATATGGGGTCACAAAATGGAGTGAAAATAACATGTTTTGTCTATTTTAGGGCAGTTTACCATTGTTTCCATGGAACAGATATATCTCGATATCTCAAGATTTTGCTCGGTAACATATGGTAAAAAAAAAACACATAGTGTCTACATATTTGTATACAATCTATACAAAAATCAGATTTACAGTGAAACCAAAAATGTTCACATACTGTTGACTATTACTAAAACGAATAATTGTAGACAGATTTTCATACAAAATATAGCCGGACAAGTTGGCGTAGGTGGCGCCCTGGACTACTGCGATCCCCACCGATTGGTATATATGTTGCTACTGCAATATGCGCTAAAATTTGCGCACATGGAAAAATTCTACCATACCTTATTGTAAATCGTCAATTCATTATTAGCCAGTCACCCTTGAACTAAGTGAATACCTACATCGTGCAATACCAGAACAGTTGTTATGATATCCTCGTTCGATGTCTTACATTGATTCTGAAAACAACAATAGAGATGTCGGAGACCACTGATCTTTACGTTAATAACTCTGCACACAACTTTGCATTGGGTATGTACATATTAGACGAGGCGGATATCATTGTCTGAGACAGAGACAATATTTAAAGGTGGTGTTACACATTTCTTGTTTCAGCATTGATCCTGTATATAGTCACACACGACTACAATTTTAAACTTGAAACGCATTGATGTAATTAGCAATGCACATACGAAGTAATAATTCTAACGTATTAAAAATTTGTAATTTTTACAAAACTGAGGAAGCTAGGTGGTCAAACGTGGCACCTCCGGATACCGTAACATTTCTGCTCAATTACCCAGAAGGCTCTACCACTAGAATTGACGTGGACGTCTTGATAACATTGAATATATCAGTTTGTTACTTGGATTTAATTTTAAATCACAGCAATACGCGCATTAAGGTATGTATCTTTTTATCGTTGATTTTTTTCTTTAATTAAAAGCGGGTTATAGAAACGTCTGAATTATCGAAGTGCCATAAAGTTTTTTTTTCTTTTAACCGCGCTACCACTGTGGTATCTACATGAAGCTGAGATACATTGCATTTTGGATTTTAATTACTTTGTAAATTTCCTAAACTTGTTTCAATGTACAATTTCATGTGTTATTTATAAATACCCATATTCTGTACTCTATTCGAGCTAATCTGCTAAATATGGACAGTGTTTTGGGTGATTTTAGATAAACAAGGGCGGGACTGCCTTGAGTGAGATAATGTACTCTACCAAAGAAAGAGCGAAGATGGGTATATTGTCAATATACACAACGAATGTATAGAAGCATGCCTTTCACTATCGAGACGATTTACTATTCGATATTGTGCCAGTATCTAAAGATTACCTTCAATATTCGTTGTCACTGTGTGTGTATTCAGTGCAACAAAGCTGAGTACACCATTTATTAAGATGAATAAAAAGTGGTATTGGTTCGTAGTGAACTGTTTATCTCAGTGTTGTTGGCAGAATTAACTTTTGTGAATTACAGAAACACATAACAGATACACAATAAGCGCATGGATTCTTCCGTAAACTTAGCGACGACGAAATAGCACAGTGCGTTAGACTGGTGTATACTGTGAAATATTTTATATATTTTTTGCTTGGAATTAATATTCGCTGAAGGAATGATTCAGTGAAAATAAAATCCAGTGAATATACCTTTTTCCTATATTTTACATTCAACTTTTAAGATGAACAATATGACGCACTGTCGTAAGAACTATACGTGTTTATCATTGTGATTTTTCTTCACTCATTATAGGGAACATTCAAATAATAGCTGATTTGTTTGTTTTGCAGTCAGTATGGGCAACGGATGTAGTTGTGAAATTGGATCGGACGGAGCTAGTGGAAGCGGTGGCGGCGGTGGCAACCGAGGCGGTGGCGGTGGCGGAGGGAGGAAAGGCCATCCTCATGGTGGACCACCTGGTCAACGGAAAAAGCAAGGGCAGACGCACTGGAAACCGTAACGGACTTTTTAATTACGTCACAACTAGAATATGACAGACTAGCACCTCATGACTGTTTATTGCTTCTTCAAGTTGTCGCTCTTCGACTGTGACGACTTCAGAGATCATTGTTGATGATAGCTGACAATAATAGTAAATGCGCCAATAATAGTAAAGTTGATACGTTATTAACCGCACGGACATGTTCGAATATAATATGTATCGATATTCAGGAGGATCTTGAGAGCTCCCAGGTGTTGGAAATGACCACATTCAAAATACGTTTATCAAGTTCGTATTCCTGAAAAGATTTTTTTACTCCTCTAATAATTACATAATCAAATTAACTTGCCATTATTAAACATGCGAAATTTGGCTACTTTTAGATGTGATTGATTTCAGCACCGAACTCATTTCTTGTACATGTTTATTTTGTCGAAATGTCGGGAAAGTGACCTTAATACTTCTGTCACTGTTTTTTTTTTTTAGGGGGGGGGGGTGGGGTGGGGGTGGGGTGGAGGTTTAATGTAGTTTAGCTTTCTTAATCAATCTAAACCGACTGTAGCAATTTAAACGTTGTAAAGATATATTTGAAATCTGTTTGTTTGTAGTCACGTAGTAGTGTTGTCTTCTCATCAAAATTATAATAACAAATAGGTCGTTTTTATATGTACAAACTTTTCATGATTTTCAATAAAATTATATTTCAAATGAAACACTTACATTGCAATCGTAAATCTGGAATTCGGTATTTCCTGATATTCCACATTACAAAAAAAATATGACACGTCTAGTGCTTTGTATTTATTTCAAGTAAATCTCTGCATCTCAGCTAGATTTAACCTTGCCAAAGTTAGGTGCACTTGCCTCAGCCTCTAAGAAGGCTACAATACCATTCTCTGAAAGTACATTGATTCTAAACTAATTATAACTGGGTGAATGTATTGTACAGCCCTGTTCAATTGTTATTTAATAAATGCGTTCTCTATAAAAAGGATTGTAATTTATTATAATATTTCGTTACTTGAATTAAATTTCAAATTATAACGAAACACATTATGTATCTTTGAACGCTTTGATTCTACACACACGTACAAAAACTTGGCCTTCAGCGCTGGGTTGTTACGTGGGAAATGCACTGATGACCACGTTGCACTTGGTTTTCTAACTAATTACTTTCAAACACTTGTAATAATGATTTGAATATCACAAAGTCATATTTTGCCATAAATCTCAAAAAATAGCGTTAAAAACACAAAAATCAATTCCAGATTAATTTAGTATAGCAATAAGACATGAATTAACTTGGTAACTATTTTAATGTACAATTGTGTATGTGCTAAGCAATAAAATATGAATAAACTACCGGTACTTATTTCTAGTTACTGTATGAGGGCTAATCTGTTAAATGTCAACAGTGGTTTGAGTGAGTTTAGATAAACAAGGGTGTGGACCAGTTGAGTAGGACAATGTACTATACCAATGAAAGGAAGACAATTAGTTCAGAAGACATTGTGATGGGTATATTGTCAGTATGCACATTGAATGTACAGCAGCACACCCAGATTTACAAAATTATCAAATGTTTGAGTCCAATATTCAGTGTTGATATTAGTGTATGCAATGGAACTGAGATATGTACATCAAATATATGAATAAAAACCAAATTTGGTTCATTTGTTTCAGTGTCTTTATGTTTGCGTCAACAATTGACAAATACGTTGTAATGTAAAGTCTAATGGGGAAATTACGTGTACAGCGAAGTGATATTATTATATTTGTGTGTGTAGTCTACTTGTTTTTATTTTGTGAAAAGGAAATGGGAAAGAGTTTGCTTTTACTGTGATTTTCTACTCATAATTAAGAGAAAATTATAAATATCTGTTATGCATGAACCAGTACATGTATGCGTACGCATATACATAAGAAGTCCTGCAATGGAACATTCTGACTGGAAGAGAGACATAGCATGGGTTTTAAGGATTATGTTGAAAACAACCATCGAAACAAAACAGCTTGACAAAAGTTAGCATACTGTTAATTACAGCAACAAAACTGTCACACTGTTAAAGCAAATATCATTCATTGCATTATTATGTCAGAAGCAATATTGAGTACCATATTGAGAGAGTGATTTACTGATGACCAATTTCCCGAAACATTTACACGTACCAGAAACATGTACAGCATTTATTAATACAAAAAAAATAACAAAGAAGTATCAGCAGTGAATTCAGATTGATGTAAATACATGTGAACATTGTATGAAAAAACCACATGAGAACATGACTATGTAAAAATAGATCAGTCTAGGTGGTTGAACATGCTAATACTAAATCAGTTAGGGATGCCTGATTTACATTCATATAACTCTCTAAATAATGTAAAATTATGAAGGCATGGAATGAAATATCTTCCTGACTCTTACTATGTGAAGTATACTTACTCAGCCATACAGAATATTACGGTGTTTGACCCTTGACATTACTCTATTCTACAGCAAAGTGCTGCATACTCTAGTAATACAGAGCGTGGTCCAATCTGCAACTTAAAAATGTAGCAATTCTTCCAATAAATGAGCTCATCTTAATATTTTCAGCAATGCTAATCTGAAATGCCAACTCTGTGGATTGTTGTTATTCTAAATTAAACTTTATCACAAGTCAGCCAATCAGATGCATTTCTTAATGTCACATGGTTAACACCTAACCAATCAACTGAATTGTTTCAACTTGAGACTGTGACATGACCTTCATGGACCAATCAGCATCCCCTTGCCAGTATATCTTCCACATAAGGGTTATTCTTGCCTTTAATTTCACTCTTCAGTTTTTCTATCTCGGCCATAGCTTCTTCGTCTGTCATGGAGGACAGCGGAATTTCTTTGAATTTTGATAAAAATCCCCGAATCAGTTTTTCTCCTTCCTGTGAAAAAAAGAAGTTAGTAGAATCTTATCACTTCACTGTCACCTCTATTTTGCTGCAAAAAACAAATGTTACATTCTTTAAAGGGTGGTAGTTGTCGAGCTGCGCACATGAGATATTTGTGTTGATAAACATAGATTTTCCTACAATCCAATGCGCTCTTTTAATGGAAATCACAAGTATGAGGTTTGACCTGGGTGCTGGACTTGCATTAAATACAATCACCTAAAAAAAATACGTAATTAAAGCTTGGTAACATCTCAGTTAGTACTCGTTAATCTGCACAACAGACAAAGTTGTGATCTTTGTTTATATGAAACTCGTATATCTCACATGTGTGGCCTGACGACTACCACCCTTTAATTTTCTAGAAAACCTTCTGACATTCAGCAACTAATTTTCATCATTGAAAGAAAACTTACTTCACTTTTGTGACATCTTTACAAACTTTGGAGACATCCAATCAAATGCCTACAATTTCTGTTAACTTGTCTGCGATTGAGTTTTCATAAGTACAGGTTTAATGTGTAATATTAAACCATGTTTATGACGCAAATCTCATGCTCTCTCGCGTGATATTTACATAGATCTCGCACTTTCTCGCGTGGCTCAACATCACAATCAGTTTGTTTCTGGCGCCATATTGGAAGTA